GAAAAGCACTAAAACAAAACATCGCCTCAACTCAGTTTTGTTTTTCCTTTCACAATAAAGCACTATCTCCTCCAGGTATTCAGAGAACGTCGCTCGTTTGCTTGACTGAAGGCTTCCCAAAGCTTGCCATCCTTGATGGCCTGGGCCAACTTGCCTGCGACAATGAGTGCTTTTTGCCGCTTTCGCTGCGTGCTCTTCAAGCCCAATGCGTCCACCTCCTTGACGTCACGCGCATTGCGGCATTGGCCGATTGGGCTTGTTTCCTGGCCTCCTTCTTGAGCTCTTCCAGGTCGAAGGTTTCCCCTGCGGCCGTCTTGAGCGAGGCCATGCAGTCCACACAAATCTTCATTCTGTCATGCTGCTCAGAAACCAGCATCGACTTCCTCTTCTGAATAACTCCGCACTCTGCACACGGTTGCCCCTTGCTGGGCTTGGCCACCACGCCACCCGTCAGGGGGTCCGTTGCTCCGGCGTCGGAAGCAGACACCATGATTGCTCTACGATTCTAAGACGAGGGCAGTTGCCTCGGCACGGCACTTTAATTTCCAAACACAGACTAAGACCACCGGTCACCGTGCTCAAAGTTACAGTTTTCTCAAAATCGTTATGTTATGCTGTGGCGGTAAAAATCATAGTGATATTCATAGAATCTCAGATTAAAATCTTCTTGAGTGTCAATCCTGGCTGCCACCAACTGTGGTCTTACTACCTCACAGGACAATCGGAGGACGAGCTGTCCAAACTCCGGCGGTGGTGCATAATAAAGGCATGCTAAAAAACTGCACTGCACTAACTTCCTCCAAGTCTGGCACGGCAGTCAAAAACCCCACAAGCGCCCGCCTCGACGGCTCCACCACGTCTGGGTTCCATGGCCTGCCGAGTCGGTCAACGTCAAGCCCTCCAAAAACAAAGCACCCCAAAATCAATTCAACTCCCGCCTCCACGGCACTGAGCGGACGGGGTCCAGGTTCCACGGCCTGCCGCGCCGCGGATGCACGCGATCTACGACCAAACTCCACAAACAACCCGGGCCAAAGCTCAAGGCAAGTAGATTTTGACGACACGCACTCACTGGCAGCCCGAGTGGTCAAGCTACTATTATATTCTGATACCGGAGAGCTGAGCGCCTCAATTTGTCAAGCCAGCCACGAATGAGCTTGAAGTCGCCGACATCAGCCGCTCTAGACGTGACGTCAACTTCAAGACATTTACAGCAGTAAGTCCAGGGTTGAATTTATTTTAGATTCAAGGGCAACGGATCTCAAGCTGAACCTGCACCAAGCACTGACTGAGTGACAGATTGACTGCCGCTTAGGCTTCTGACTCAAGGAATAACAATTGTCCGGCAGCATGGGTCCCTGAGCAAGGCCAGGAACTAAAGCGCGCAAAGTTACCGATTTCCAGCCCAACTGACATGCCCTGCGCTTCTAACTCATTGTGTACTGCAGCTCGGAGCAAACGTTTCGTGAACCTGCCTCGCCAGACACAAGCTTCACGACTCTTTGTGCACTCGCAATCTTTGTCCTTGGATTTCGGCCGAGACAAGAGCGAGGCTCCGATCCTCTCGGCCTACTTTCCACAACGGCTGGCTCTCGCTAGCTACAAAAAAACGTAGGATTTCGGCCAAGACAAGAGCGAGGCTCCGATCCCCTTGGCCTACTTTCCGGACCTCTGTCAGGTCCGACAACATTCACGACAATATACATTCGCCCACTTTTTGCCTTGCCAACCCAGAGATCTCAATGCCTGTGGCCACGAGCCACCATTATCTGGGAAGGTCACGAGAAATCTGCAACACTTTCGACATGCCACGAAGTACCAGTAGGCGTAATTGTCAGGCGTCACATGATGAAAATGGGAACCTTCATGCGCATAAACAATTCCATCAGGACCTCGGAATTTGAAAGCTCCAGACACTGGCCGCATGTACTCAGTCACCTGTCCCCATGGTGTGTCATGTCCTTCACCATGCCGGTCAAGACCTCAGGGTCAGTTTCCAAGCCCGCCGTGGGGCCAGAAGGCACGGCGGCTCAGGGCCACTGCGTTGCGCCGCAGCAGGTCTTCCAGGAGACGGCAACGAAAGTCTTCTGACTGGTTTCTGATCCAATCCAGGCACCGTTGGTAGGAGGCCTCAGACTCATCGATCCCAGGCTCTGCCAGCGACATTGCTGGTCGAGTCACTACAATGAACGGAACCCAAACTTACAATGATGTTCGACAAGTGTTGCTCTTACTTTCACAAGGCGTCCAATGACGGTGGAGTTATCAATTATTATTTTTTGTCTAGAACTAAAGAAACCTGAAGGAACTGTCCTTGAAAAGATTCGCACTGTGCAAAGGATGCGATGAAATTGTACACATCCTTCGCACCAGAGTGTTTCCGAAGGGGAGACCCTGACACGAAAAACATGTACATGCACTGCAGATAGCTCATGATTCATGATTACTACATGGCAGCGACAGTAATAATACGCAGCTATAGAGCTTGGTAGCTGACAGACTTTAATTACTTTAATTTATTACCTCCCACCTTTAGCCAACAGTGGTTGCGGCAATCTCGGCTGGTAGTGCAATCCCTTGCAGCACATTAATATAGTTTAAGGCGTCACGACAGCTAGCCCCAGAGAGCAAGCACCGCCCAGCCTGCCTCGCAACTTGCAGCTGCCGCCAAGAACATGCTAGCGCACGTGCAAGTGCGGACGACCTATCCTGCCTTGGACCTCTCAGCATACGCCCCAGCGCAGAACGACTGCAACTGCAACAACGTGGTTCTACCCTTTTTCTCTCTCCCTTCTCTCTCCCCCTCTCCCCGAAGCCCCCCAATCCTGAGAGGACGAGAACAGTGGAGGAAGGGAAATTAATTTAAAGTCTACTACAATACGTATGTCTTCAAGTATTAATTTACAACTGAAGGGCTTCAGGGTGTTTTAGGGTTTTTTTTTACAATGGGCGCTCGTCCCTGGCGGCGGCGGAGCGATGCTCATAATAACTGAAAGGGACTCAGGGTGTCTTAACTTAGGGTTTTTTTTTTGCCAGTCGGCGCTCGTCCCTGGTGGCGGCGCGGCGATGCTCACTTTGACGCTCCGGCAAAACCGACCCCCCGGTTGATTTCTGAACCCCCGAATTGAATAGTAGGAAAAGGCCTTCAAAGTGATTGAACAGCAGCTAAGCGAACTGCAGGGCGATCAGGCCAGGCTGTCCGTACATCGATGTCCATCGTACCGGGTGCATCGGCGCAGGCTCGGGCTCGGATGACGATGGTCGGCCGCGGCCTCGGCGCTGTGCGAAGTCAGCTGTGTCGGAGATGGCACCGGGGCCGCATGAATGGGGCTGAGCGCTCAGGGAAGATGGACTGCGCTGGGCAACCTGGGCGTGGAGCCCGATCTCTGGACTTCCGACGCTTACTCGCATTGTCCTACGCTGGGGATCAGTGGGGCAGCCTTTGTGTTTTAGATTTTTGCAGCGCCACGCACAGACACAGAAAGCTGAGGCCATCAAAGTGATTGAACAGCAGCTACGCGAACTGCAGGGCGATCAGGCCAGGCTGTCCGTACATCGATGTCCATCGTACCGGGTGCATCGGCGCAGGCTCGGATGACGATGGTCGGCCGCGGCCTCGGCGCTGTGCGAAGTCAGCTGTGTCGGAGATGGCGCCGGGGCCGCATGAATGGGGCTGAGCGCTCAGGGAAGATGCTGACTGCGCTGGGCAACCTGGGCGTGGAGCCCGATCTCTGGACTTCCGACGCTTACTCGCATTGTCCTACGTGTTTGACTTGCGGTGTTGGTTTATTTTCAGACTCAGCCAGCTGAGGCCATCGAAGTGATCAAGAAGAACAACAGTCCAGTTTCTGGGCTGCATTGGCTGCGCCGTTAGCTGTTGCAGTTTGGGCTTCTCCACGCCTGACCCAGGTAAAGGACACGGCCCTCGATGCCACTAAGGCTGATGTGCAGGGCTACAAATGCAGGTGGCCTCGTGGCTGGTCGCAGTGCTGTGCAACACATACACAGTCGACTCGATTCAGGAGGCCTTGGCGTCTGCTAGCACTTGAGTTGTGGGCTTCATTCTTGATTGCGGCCGGCTCTGCCCACTTTGGTTCCCTGCTTAGGTGGTGGTGACGTCTCTTTCCACGATGAACGGTCGCGAAGTGGTGGCGGCCAGGGTTGAAGAGCTCGAAACGGACTACGCACTCTCCAAAGCTATGGCTAAGTCTCTGGTCAGGATAGTCCAAGGCTTAACGGACCCTGCAGCTGCTCCGACATGAATTAGTCGCACTTGTCCGGTAGGTGTGTTTGTGGGGTCAATTTCACGTCGGATGGCTTGTTTCAGACTGTGCACTGAAAGGCAATCACCTTTGCCGACATTGCACAAGATGTGACCTATGCTGAATGCGTCTATGCTCGTGTTTGGGTCTACAACCTGCTGACACGGCTTCCTTGTGGGTACATCCCTGATGCGCAGAAGCTTGGTGATGTCGCTCTTGAAGACGGTCCACAAAAACGGATGCATTCCAGTTTTCTTCGGAGAAAGCGGCTCAGGCAAAACGGTGCACTGTTCGCGCCAGCGTACAAGATGCTGACCGAAGACAACGCTGGCATTGTAAGGGTTTTCGCCTGCAGGCTTCCTGATCTGATGGTAGTAGGCATCTCGACAAAGGCAGGCAAGCCAGTGTGGACAACGACACTGTTAAGCGTGCGAAATGGTGCAAGGAGTTCGTCTTGCAAGAGTTCAAGGGGCGGCTGATGAATGCGTTTCCTAATCACGGCGATTTAGTTGGAGGATGGGTGAAAGATGCACAGCGAGACACTTCTGCTCTGGGCTCTGTGGTGTTTGTTATCGACGAAATCACGAAATGTCCGAAGCTGGCAAAGGGCATTGCCGCATGTCAAGATGACATCTAAAGAGCTGAAGTGTTTTTGCGCCTCCCCGCAACTGGTGATGGCAGGCACCTCCGCAGCACGTGTTCTTGAGCCCGGTCATTACTCTAGCGACCCAAGCAAGGTGTGCTTGGTTCCTGTCGGCCAAGTTGAGGGGCACAGCAAGTTTCTGCAAGAGTTGATCGATCATTTCACCCCTCAGAAGCATGTCTCCCTCGAGGATCTAGCCAGTGTACCGTTCCTGGAGCCATATCTATCAAACGCACGGACAGCCATGCTTTTAGTGGAGGAGGTGGGCAGGTTTCTGGAGCGAAAGCATATCGAAAGTGATGACTCATACCACATTTGGAAGCGCTTCCCTTGGCTTCCTGGCTGCTTTGTTCCCTTGCGATACCGGACGCTAAACGGATTGCAGCGCATTACATCCCCCAAGGAAAGAGAGCTTGTGGCCAAGAATGCGCTGGCGCTACTCATGCACTTAGGCGTTGCTGGCGAAGATGTGAGGCCGTCTGCATCAGATGCAATGATTTGTGTGGACTTGGGCCTGTGCACTCCCTCAAACTACAGCCAGCTGTTGTTCTATAAACTAGGTTGTGCATGCTAGCGGTTGAGCCGTAGGCTTTAAAGAAAGTGCATGAAGCACAAAAGCACTCTGTTCTTTTCTGGAATGCCGAAGTGTCCCGAGAGACATGTCCGAGATTCAGACAAAGCAAAGAACGGTTGCTGGGTGGTCGATTTCACCCCCCAGCACCAAGATTGACGGCATACGAGTACCAACAACTAAAGCACCCAGAACCGGAGGTTATATGAACAACATACAGAAACACCAGTACGAACAAAGCCGTTTGACATGAAAGCATAAGAAGAAATGACGACATGAGTAACAGCAATATGCCGTGTGGGCAAGCGCGGAATTTACTGCAAAGAGAAAGGTGAACCAGCGGCCCATGCCTGGTGGAATCACGCGTTGGGAATTTAACGACAGCTGAAAGTACGATGGCAAAAGACCGGCATGCCTGATGAATTGCGGTTTGCCGGATGATTCATCTCCTTGCAGGAAACTCACCACAAACTGGATGCGTAAATGAGGCTACCCAACAACCAACAACATGGCAAAGCTGCAAGAGATGCTGTCGGCGCTGAGTTGAGACGCTACAGCCTGCCCCGTAGGCTTGATCCTTTCTTGTAACGAGGTCTTGTGCTTTCTGGAGGCCAGTGCCTGAAACTGCGGGTGAAACAGTGAAAGTGAAACTGCCCAGAACGCGATACCTCAGACAGCTTAAGGCAAAAGCTGATATATAACAACCGGGTGGGCGGGTGAGGAATTCAGAAGAACGTCAGCTAGCACGCACAACTTAGAGCCAAAATGTAGCACGA